GTCTGTGTCTGTATATATACATATATATATATATATATATATATATATATATATATATATATATATATATATGTGTGTGTGTGTGTGTGTGTGTGTGTGTGTGTGTGTGTGTGTGTGTGTGTGTGTGTGTGTGTGTGTGTGTGTGTGTGTGTGTGTGTATATACAAATGCCTTGGGAAGCATTTGCACACATATTACCATAGAAGAACTTTGTCTTGGTTTGTATTGTTCTGTCATTTCATGTAGGTTTCATTACCCAACTCTGCCACTTATACTACATATTGATCCTTGAGTCTGCATCTCCTTCTATAATAAGGGTGTCAGCCAGGTCCGCCTTGGAATTAGATTGTCTGATTCAGCCGCACAATTTGTATAGTATAATTAACTGACATTTTACCTGTTAAGAATATACCTTCGATTGCTTAAGCTATCTAGCATGTTATTCCTCTAACAGGCTAGGTTAGGTCGCTAATTGTTCTCAGTTATAAATTAACTAGCCAATATGCTTCGTAATTATATTATACTGCCACATTATGACACATCTTGTCATCATGGCTTTTCACTAACATCATAAGCCTAATTCAAAGCATAGGTTTCATAATATTTCATGATGTGTAATTTTCAGTTACTGAAATGCTTTATATTTGTATTACCTTATTATAAAAAGGATACGTGCATAGTTGTGTTCATATTTTTTTCCGAAAGGATTCATTGCCATGGATTAAAAATTAACTTTGTTCAATATAATAGTTACCCATAAAAAACATTTTCTTTGAAAGTAAATATTCTTCGTTTTCTTTTTTTTATTTTTATGGTTAACCCATGGAATATAATCTACCTACTTACATTATCTATTTCTATATCTATATCTATCTATAGATACACACACAAACACACACAAACACACACAAACACACACAAACACACACATACACACACATACACACACATACACACACACTCACACGCACACACTCACACACACACACACATATATAAGTATGTATATAAATAGATAGATGTATAGATATATAAATAGATATGCATATATATATATATATATATATATATATATATATATATATATATATATGTTAATATAGATAGATACATATGCATATATATATATATATATATATATATATATATATATATATATATATATATATATTTACACACACACACGCACACACACACACACACACACACACACACACACACACACACACACACACACACACACACACACACACATTTGTATATCCCCTTGGTGCCGGGTATGACGTGTACGTACGTGCTATGCCCACCGTGAGTACTTGTTTGATTGTTTTTACGCATAGATGGCAACACTTGTACTAAATCACCAATGAGCCAGTTACGAGCACTGGTCGTCTCGCCCGTTTACCCGTTTCTTTGATTTACGAAATATTTTACGTAATCTTATTTTGCTGTTACTAGTGTTAAAAAACATTATAAAAATTATAATGTTTATGATAAAAATAACACCATCGATGTTCATAGCACTAGGGAAAAATACGTTTTTCCCGCCATTTAAATCAGGCGCTAGCAGAGCCATCTATCGGCAGACATTTCACGAAAAACATAGAAAGTGGGCACAATATTTTCCCCATTTTTTGTTCATTTTCCCCGGCACCATTGGGTTAAATACACACATATATATATATATATATATATATATATATATATATATATATATATATATAAATATATATATATATATATGTATACATACATATAAATATATATGCATATATATATATATATATATATATATATATATATATATATATATATACATATATATATATATATATATATATATATATATATACATACATATAAATATATATGCATATATATATATATATATATATATATATATATATATATATATATATATATATATATACGCACATACATATATATTGACCACAAAATTTGATAGCATATTTAGTAATTTTTACATTAAAGTAATTGGAAGGTAAGTTAATATACCATGCAACTAGTACAGTGGAAATATATTTTTTTTTCTTAATTAGCTTTATTAGTTGAAAAGCTTTTAGGATTCTTAAATAAACGTTAATTATTTGAAAGGAGGACCACATGGCGTGACCAACTGTTTTCCGAATGTAAGTTTATTAATTCAGCTAATCAACATTTTTCTCCTTTTTTTCTTCAAATGATATATCATTCTTCTAGCTCTAATATCATCGGTCAAGCGTCTATAAATAAATGTGTGAATACAAAATCTAAACTTGAAAGACGCGCGCCATGACGTCATGAAAGAGTCTATACTCATCGACATCTTTTTTAAAATAAAAATAATGCATATAAAATCATAATCAATATATAATATGAAAAATAAAATAAACATGAAATGAACGATCTCATATGTAATAACAATCCATCAATAGAAATAACACAGAGATAAAGAATCGAGAAAGTACATATCTTCCAACTTCACAAATTTACGTCCGAGGACTTGCCGCCAACTCCAGTCCTTCCTTCCACACAACCGCCAAGATGGTACGTTGCCCCTCTCCCTTCGAGCTTGGATTTATCGCAAAATATTTGCCCATCGAGTGTATTAGACATGGTAGAGTGTATTTGAAATGGAAGAATATTAAGTTGTGGTAATATCGATATATAAGTAGGGTAGGCTGGGTGTACGATAAAAGTGATAATGTTGGGTAAATAAGACGAATGGCGTACGGCGCTGCAGTGTTTACATCCCGAAGCAAGTGGATAAATGCGGCATTTGTTTTACAAGGAAAATGTAAAGAGACTTATATATACCGCCTCGTATTTGCCTGATATTTATTTATCATGAAACGAAATTTGTATATACGCACATGGGTAAGAAAAATTGCGAAGCATAATGCAACAATGTAAAGTAAACATTACAACCGACTTGATCTTTAACGAATCCAAAATTACCCAGGTGTTGTGCAGAATTTAGATACTAGATTAATTACGGATTTTTGTTTTTCTCGATCGGTTCAGAAGCATGTACAGTTTACTTCCTTTTGTTCGTATTTGTTGACATTTTTCGTACCAAGACTCCCTCGTCCAACACGTGACCACCACCACCAAGTGTGACGATTAATAAGACGAGGCTTTGCATTTGCTCATGTTTTTAAATGCTGCTCGATAGTTCTCCTTTGAAGGCAGATTGTGGGGGAATTTTACACACTTTTTTCACATAACTGGTGGTGGTGATTTTGGTATTGATGGATTACTCTCGCACTCTTGTACACGTCTGTAGGATTGATGCCGAGGAGGCCCCCAAACCCCCACATTTTTGGCTCCATCAGTAGGGGAGGGCATGAAAGATAGTTAGTAAAACAAACTAACGTGGTATTCTTTCACCAACTAATGTAAAAGATCGAAGTGTTGTGGAGTAATGAGGCAAGAAAGTTACTGTAGTCCTACAAATATAGTTTGCAATATGGTAACATTGTTTATATGCTGGAGGCCTTAGAAATTGGTAAAATGTAAAGTTGTCTATGGGAAATATAAACCTCATGTTTACTGTAGTGTAATGTGATTTCTATTTACTATTTTTCTCTAAGAGTTGCAATCGCACATGCACATTGTGGAAGTATCGAGTACGGTATTTGTTACTGAGTGAGATGCACCCCCCGACACTGAATTCCATAACCAGGATATTGTATGAACTGAAATTCCAAACTTAACCTTTCCTTCCTTCCTTATTCCCCTGTCTAGGGAATAGACAACCTAAACCACTTTTTATTAGCCTTTCTGCCAACTTCCTGAAAAAGGACAGTAACCCAATTCTGCTGGGCCTTGTGGCGTCAAAACAAACCACTCGATCTGTGGAGTGCAGCTGTACACCACGGCAATGTTCTACAAGAAAGCAGTGTGCATCTCCCTCAATCTCTGTGCATTACTCTCCATAACTTTAACCCTAAAATCCTGCTCTAATCCAAATACCAAGTATTCGCTATAAAGTCTAATGCCTCCCTCACATACTGAAGAGCATAAGAAGGTACACAGGTACAGCTGTGCTGGCCACATACCTACCACGAAATGACAAAATTGTCTTTCATATCACTGCTCAGCCTTGATTACACAATGTTTTCTGTTAGTGAGCATGCAGTACTAATAAAGGGTGAAGATACAAGGGGGCTTCCCCTAATCTAGGGAATATGTAGACAATAGTAAATGTTAGGTTTGATTTTGGGTTTGCATGATAACCTAGTTTTGGGACTCTCTGGAGGGTTCTTCACTCTTGGTAGCAAATGCCAACAGTTCCAAGTTTGGTTTTGAGAGGTTGCATTTAACCCAATGGTGACAGGATTAAAAAAAAAAAAAAAAAAAAAAAAAAAACGCTACGCTCTGGCGATCAATGGGAGAGCGCAGACTTTGAGGGCAGTAGTTCAGTACATCAAGCCAAATCACTGGCTCGCCGCAATTGGGCGCGCAGCCACGACATACAGCTGCACGCCACATTTTGAGCCGTTTATTTTCAAACCTATAGGCATGACCCGTCGTGAAGGGGTTAATGCATAAATTGACTTGTGGCAAACTTGCAAAAATATAGCTAGGAGGCATTTTTTATTAGTAAACTTAGTAAAAAGTTTGCAACCATATCCGAGTTCAACCCCAACTTGAATGAACAAACTTTGGGGATATTGTGGGTAACTGGTGGTTTTGGGTCTGGCTGAGGGGAGGGGGGCTAATTCACTCAGAAAAAGTATTTTATCCACATGTTGCCAGAGAAAATGAATAAAAAAATGGGAAAAGGCTCTGCATATAGATGGCTCCGCTAGTTCTTCGCCATAAAGGAGCTAATTAGTAGACCTTGTGACCTTGCTTAATTTCCTTCCTTGAATTTGCAAAAATAAAGTAATTTTTACTAATGCTATAAGTATTGGTCTTTTTATTATGGAAGTTACAAATACGGTTATAAACATTAGTAACCACAAAGTAAGATAACGTAAAGTATTTTCGCAAATCAAGAAAAAGGGTAAATGTGCGAGACAGGCAGTACTCGTAATTGGCTCATTGGTGACTTAATATAAGTGTAGCCATCTTTGGAAGAACAAAATAAACTCACGGTGTGCATAACACATACGTACATGCCATACCCATCAGCATTGGGTTATAATAAGAGTTGGAAATAGAAAAACTAGAATTTAAAATACGAATGCACTCACTGGAGACAGGTCGTCGTGTCACCATATTTATATATTGTTTTTACTTGTCTGTGTGACAAGGTAGAGCTGAAACTTTAGTACCAAGTGGCCTTAGGCTTTGAGCAATGCTTTCTGATTTTGTCTGCAGATTTTCTTGTTGCATATTAGAATTTCTCCAGATTTACCAAGCCTAGTGCACACATACATATTTTAAAATATACAAAAAAAAAAATCTAAATAAAGCCAAGATTTGGTTACAAAATATTCAATCTAAAGTTGTGTGAATAAATGTAAAATCTTCCAAAAGGTATAGACTAAACCAAACTAAGCCACAAACAAAAATGGTCGAGAAGAAAGCAGCTCATCAGACTAGCACTTTCCCATCAATTTTTGCATTTCCATATGAATGTTCCCCATGTAAATGAACTGACCCTATCACACCACCAAGGTACCAAACTTAGTGGGCATGTAAAGTTTACAATAATTTGTTCTTTTATTTATCATTAAAAAACATTCTAGTGTACAAAACTTTTGAAGCACAAGATCAGAACGGTGGCAAGTGCCTTAATCTGGTAAGGTTTCTGTTTGCATGTGATTCTTGTGGAAAGCCTCAAATTCAGGCCAGAAATGCAAACATTTAAAGGAGAAGTGCTCGTGTGATGAGCCTTAAATCCCCCTCCTTTTTCTTGGGTTTCAGCACAGTCTTGCTGTACATACCATGGTATCCTCTCTACCGGGGGAATGTGCCCCCACGCTCAGTCATAACCAAGATTTAATAAATTTGATGTTGGAGATGGGGACTTAGTCTCTAGCAAGTGCATCTGACCTGTTGTAAACTTTTACTTTTCAGTATTTGCCATCCAGCCTTGCTATTGTGGTAGTTTGTTTTGCCATTATTTATGTTAGACATTGCGTTGTTACAAAGCTTAACCCTTTATGGAGCGGTCACACATACAAGCGTCATAACATAGAGCTTGGTCTGTGGGGTACAGCTGTACATGTAGCGATGCACCAGAGCATGTGGAGTGGGAAGTTCCACTACTCGTAGTGGACTCCCACGCCCAGTGTCTGGATTTTGCCAGAAATCAGCAGAGTATGACACTCAGGGATTTCTGATATTCATTGGCTTCAGGTTAATCTAAATTGCTGTGACATGGTGTGAGGGGAGAGGCCCAAACACTTCCCCAGAAGCATTGTCTTGTATGCACTGAAAGATAGTTATTCGAGTGCACTTTGGGTCTGAGTGGCACTTTCTAAGATCTTTTTCCTTTATTTGTGACATTCTTTCATATTTGCAAATTATTTCTTGGGGTGGGGGGTGAATAAGTGTTATGAAAAAAAAAAAAGGAAAATCAATGTAACCCAATGACTGGTCTATAAAAAAACATTTTGAAAACTCTCACTGACTAGACATTGAATTTTTAGTGTTATGCTGAAAGATGAAAGGGACTGTGTGTTTGATTTGTGTGTGTTCTTTACAAAGTGACTGCAGCCCTCAGACTAACATTGATGTTTGGACACACTTGGGACACCTTGAACATTTTTAAAGTTGGACGTTTTTACTCTTGCCAATTATTTTATAAATCGTTGACCCCCCTTCCTCCCCCCCCCCCCTCTTTCACTCACTGACTTTTGATTTTGTTACATTACATTTTCTGTGATTATAGGTTTTAATATCTCTCTCTCTCAACAGTCGCTGGTTGTACCTGAAAAGTTCCAGCATATCCTGCGTTTGATGAACACCAACATCGATGGCAGGCGTAAGGTTATGTTCGCCATGACTTCCATCCGTGGTGTTGGTCGCCGTTACTCCAACATTGTCCTCAAGAAGGCTGACATCGACCAGTTCAAGCGTGCTGGTGAAATGACTGAAGAGGAGGTAATGTTGGTGTGGCATTATTTGAGTGAGACGAGGAGTTCTGTATATTAGTCTTGAGTATTGAAATCTTAAATATTTGTATACATGTCCCAGACTCTTGTCCATGATATGACAGGCAGCAGTTTGTTGTTGCTGTTTTTGTTAATTAGATTGTGCCATGTTCTCTTTATTAACTGATACCGTATAGTGTAATTCTGAGTTTTGTATATTTGAATAGCCACTGATACTTAGTTCATAAATGTATATAATCTTTAGTGGATTAATATGAACCTTGTACTCAGGGCACAAGTAGTCCATAGTAGTTCTTTTGGTGTTGTCGTTGCACACAGGTGATTCCACACGTATTTGGTTTCTAAGGAGTCAATTATAGCCAGAAATAAATTCTCCTGATTTCCCTCATTCCTTGGATATATTTCTCTCTCTCTCTCTCTCTCAATCTCTCTCTCTCTCTCAATCTCTCTCTCTCTCTCTCTCAATCTCTCTCTCTCTCTCTCTCAATCTCTCTCTCTCTCTCAATCTCTCTCTCTCTCTCTCTCTCTCTCTCTCTCTCTCTCTCTCTCTCTCAATCTCTCTCTCTCTCTCTCTCTCTCTCTCTCTCTCTCTCTCTCAATCTCTCTCTCTCTCTCTCTCTCTCTCTCTCTCTCTCTCAATCTCTCTCTCTCTCTCTCAATCTCTCTCTCTCTCTCTCAATCTCTCTCTCTCTCTCTCAATCTCTCTCTCTCTCTCTCAATCTCTCTCTCTCTCTCTCAATCTCTCTCTCTCTCTCTCAATCTCTCTCTCTCTCTCTCAATCTCTCTCTCTCTCTCTCAATCTCTCTCTCTCTCTCTCAATCTCTCTCTCTCTCTCTCAATCTCTCTCTCTCTCTCTCAATCTCTCTCTCTCAATCTCTCTCTCTCTCTCTCTCTCTCAATCTCTCTCTCTCAATCTCTCAATCTCTCTCTCTCTCTCTCAATCTCTCTCTCTCTCTCTCTCAATCTCTCTCTCAATCTCTCATTATGGGTGTCATTAAAAACTAATAACATTAAAAGATGTCAAGGAAATGGTTATATGTAGGACTCCTTGGTGACAAAGTACTTGTAGGGCCGTTTATAAACCTAAACAGACTAAAACATCACTGAACATAAGTATTTCATACCAGTTCAGTACTGAAATTAAGGGAGAGTAAAAATAACCTGCAGATGTCACTTGGTAATTAAGGTTTGAGAAGTAAGCAGAAGATAAAGTTTAAAAATTGCAAGCACAGTTTGTTCATCTGCTTGAAACCTATTGCAAAAGAAAATGGGAAGAATGAATTAAAGATGCCCATAATAATTGGATTTAGATTTTAGAATATAAAGCAAATTCATTGAGTATAGAATAATGTTTCGGTAAACTGTAAAGCAAAAATAATGATTTCCTGAATCCAGGCTCAGTATCCCAGAATATAGGCTGGTTCTCTTCCCTGCCTTTTTATCCTGATATGCCTAGGGGGGTCTTATTGAAGTTAATAGGGAATTAATGGAATTTTTCTTTTTCAGGTTGAGAAGATTGTGACAATCATGAGCAACCCCCGCCAGTACAAGATCCCTGATTGGTTCCTCAACAGGCAAAAGGACATTAAGGATGGCAAATACAGCCAGGTAAGGTTTATTCTTTGTTAAAGGGATACTACATTGTAAGAATAACGAGTTGTTGACATTCAGGAAGACTAGCTCTGCCATTTTAGATTATTCAGATACATAAAATTCATTTGTTTATGGAAATGTAAATGGAAGAGAAATTGGAATGACAAAATAACTTGATGAACCCTGGAGAGAACCTAAATACTAATTGCTTTACCTTCCTCCCTTCAATAGGTGATGTCCAACAACTTGGACACAAAGCTCCGTGAGGATCTTGAGCGTCTGAAGAAGATCCGTGCCCATCGTGGTCTGCGTCACTACTGGGGTCTCCGTGTGCGTGGTCAGCACACCAAGACCACTGGCAGGCGTGGTCGCACTGTTGGTGTGTCTAAGAAGAAGTAAAAAAACTAATACATCTTATAGGGAAATTATTGTATTTTATTATCCAAACTTTAATATATATGGTTAGCACTATTACCGGTGATGTGGGTCTACCTTGAAGTTGCAAAGTTAATATCTTTTGGTCTTGCCCAAAACCAATTCATTTTGAAATACACGCACAAACCATGCTTAATTTGCACTTCCTCAAACTACAAGACAATTACATAGTAAGAGATCATAATCTTACAGTATGTATTACCGGTAAGCTGTCAGATTTCTCAAAAGTACATTATAAATTTTTTTTTGTGTGGTATGGAAAATAAATGCTGTCTCGGAGTGTGCCTATATTATTTACTTTATAAACGCACTTACATAGTGTTGGAATTATACAAGGTGAATTTTATACAAAACCAGTTTATCATGCAAATAGATGTATTCAATGGTTTCTACTTTATAACCTGAGATTCAGCATCAAAATATCAACAGGTATATTTTACAACAAAAAATATGCAACTAGAAGCAGAATATTTTGTAATTGAGCCCCCCCCCCCCTGCCCAATCCCTTGTTCATTGTGGGAGAGGTCTTAGGGGATAGAGGCCCAATGTAGGGAATCCCCCCCCCTCCCTTCCTTGGACCTCAAGCTCAAGCCCCACCCTACGCTGCATTTTGAATATGCCGCTAATGACTTTAGATGTTGTACCCCCCCAATCCCTTGCCCGTTGTTGTCGTGGGGGGGCTTAGGAGGCGGAGACTGGGACCCAATGATGGGGAACTCCCCAACCTTGGGACTCAGCCCTCGACTCAACTAATTATGCATGGTCTTTTTTTTCCCTTCCCACTTTTGTTTCTATCCCTTCACCAAACCCTTCTGCTATCCACCTCCTAAGGTGTGAAAGCCGTGCTGAAAGGATGAAAGGCTGACTTTGTGCCAGTCCTGAACGGCCTGGGGGGGCCATGGGCACGGTATTCCCCTGATTTAGTATCTAGCCCTTACCCCTCAAGGGGACCCTGAGGGGTTGACTGTTTTTATCCCCAACATAACCAGGCTTACCATGGCCAGTAATGAAAATATATCCCCACTGTTAGGGGCAATGAGGCTTGCCCCTTTATCAAATAGCCCCAAAGAAGTAAACCCACCCGATTCCCTGACCCCAGGCTCTCCTTTGACCACGGCTCCAAACACTGCAATAACTGCCCCTTCACCAATGCCTACTAGTACAGTAGCCAACAATCAACCCTCAAGGAACATTTCCACTCTCCCAGCATGCCCAACTTCAACACCTCTACCCCCCACAACCTCCAACATCAACCACCCAATCCTCCCTTATTAATACCTTACAGCCTTATAGCCCACATCTCCATAACACTACCTCCATCAACACTACTCCATCTTCGTCACGCCCTCGCCCTTCTACCACCCCTATCTCTAAAACAATCTTGAATACTCTCTTCAGTGCAGCCAAATGGGACCGATTTTTCGTGATCCCTCCCACAGCTCCCTACTCTGACAACACCCTTCTCTTCCAACAATGCCTCCAAAAACAAGTAGGTAAAGTCTCTTTCCGTAGCCGACCCGACCGCTCCCGTCTTGTAACAGTAACATCCGAAAACCAAGCCATTGCATTAACAAAACTAACTGACCTATATGGTAACCCCATCCTAGCAGAACCCCATCCAACCCTCAATACTTGCACCGGAACAGTCTCAATCTCACCAGCTAATTGCCCAATCTATGACAAAGATTGGTCAGATTGTGGAGAAGATCTACTTGCCTGTCTCACAGACTACGATGCAACATCAGTACAATGCTACTCCATCCCCCCCCAGAGGTCATCGAAAGAAACCCACTAACATAGCCAAAATTACCTTCCGTAGACATGACCTTCCCTTTAACGTCTACATAGGAGGAGAATCCCTCCCTGTTCGTCCATACCAACCTCCTCCACGTCAGTGCCAAAATTGTTGGCGTCTAGGACACCCAGCCAAACACTGCCGTTCCACAGCCAGATGCCCATTATGTGCCCAACCTGGCCATACCCGATCTAACTGCTCTGCACAATCACGCACATGTGCCAACTGTGGCAGCCCCCATAATGTATTTTATAGGGGCTGTCCCACCTACAAATTTGAATCTGAGGTAGCAACTCTCAGATTCAAACTCGGACTCACACTGCGTGAAGCCAGACAGGAAGCACGTCGACGTGGATTCTCTCTTACTCCTTACTCCAGTAATACTGCTCATTCTAACACTTCTCCTAAACCCACCCCTCCTACATCTAACCCCCCCACTAACCCCACCTACCTTCCCCAGTCAAACTCTTTTGCCATCCTAAATCCAGAAACTCCAATCTCTACTACAGATACTCCAATCACCACTACAACCCCAACACCTTCCCCTCTCCCTCCTCGCACTCCCCGTAACAGACAGAACAAACGTTCCACCCCCTCTTCCCCTACCACACAATCACCTCCACCATCCTTTGCCCCTACTCTTGAGACACCAGTCCTCTCTTCTCCCCCTCACAAGAAATCCTTTATCCCCCAAAACTCTCTTGAGACACCAGCGTTCTCTTCCCCCCCTCACAAGAAATCCTTTATCCCACAAAACTCCCCAACCAACTCCATTGAAGAAACTCTTGAAAATATACAAGACTTCTTAATGAAAACTGACCCCCATCAACTTTCAAATCCTACAACTGCTTCCTCCACACACCAAGTGACTGCCGATATCCATCCTCCTCCTAACGATATCCCCCCTACACCCTATCCTCCTTCCCCCTCCCAACACAACCCATCCCCCCCAACTCCAACCACACCCACATTAACCCTCCCACCATCCCCTCTATCCCTTCCACTCCCTCCTGGATACACACATGAATCCCTTATATCACAAGCATCCCTTTCCACACCCGTCTAACACACCCCTATCTGATGTCGCAATCCGATCCACCCCTATGCTCTTTATGTAATGTTCCTCTTTCAGTCTCACACATTCTATTATCATGCACACGTTTTGAAGCAGCCTGTAGCTCTGCTTCCCCCCCCCCCCCACCTATCCTCCCTTCGACAACCTGTTTTCCTCTCAAACACATAAATATCCCTCACTTAATCTAACCCCTTTACATTACCTCACCCGACCTTAACCCATTCACTCACCAATTCCTTTGCCCAGCTTTGTTAACTAATCACTAACTTAACCACCCTTTACTAACATTTACTATAGTGCTACATGACCTTAGATGTCTAGCACATTTATTTTTGCTTTTAACCATTAACCATTAACTTTAGATGTTGTAACGACGCAAGATTTTCAGTAAATAAATACAGCGCTCTACAACCTTTGGCAAATTCTTACACAAAGATTCTAGTCAACTCAATTTTACCCTTTTCGCCACAACGCTACTTTGGATCTGCATGACCTTTGAAGTCTAGCACGATTATTTGTTTAAACCACTAACAAATTGTAACCATTATTATTCGCATTTTATTCTTATTGTAACTTGAAAGGCCCCTCCGCACGTTGAGTAGTGCCTACACGCATAATCAATCCCATTGACGGGTTACCACACTTGAGCAAACCAGCGGATTGTCCGTGCCTGCCCTGTTAGGGCCTGTTCTCACAGGTGAGCATAGTCGGCGGGCAATTGTCAAGGTAACGTCACAGGCAAAGAAACTAATTGTTTGCCGAATAGTTTGTCCACCTGTGCCTATCGATCTTGCCCGTATGTGTAGGCAGGCTTTTGAAATTGCCAAACAATATCCTGAATCTTCGATTGAATATTAAGCCTTAACAGTGCCTGCAGTATATTGCAGTCAAAATTAGTACAAGTAAATAGCCTGCATGAGAATTTGCAATCAAAGAAAAGTAATCCTTCATAGAATACTTAAAGTAATAGCTTCTCACATGCTTCCTCTCGCGAAGCTTTACATAAATATAAAATAAGTGCAGAATTTACATTAAGATTAAGCTGACATATATGTTGACCCCTGTTTCGTTCCTGCCCGGCTCCGACTGGTCCAGACACCGTGCCGACCAAGATCTCGAGAGAATATTTCTGCACGCATACTTAAACCGGTGATGCGATACGGGTCTATATTGATGGGCATTGCCATCGGGCCGTGTTCAATCGTGTGAGCAGGGTTTTTGCCAATTAGCAGTCCAAGGCGGGCTTAGGCATTGCAGAAGGTAATGTCGTATCCAAGCCATAAGGTGTACGGCTAGACGCGTGACTACAAATGTCTTTCTTTATGAAATAGCTTTTAATTGTGCATTTGCTATTTGCTTTCAGGCTCGATAATTTTCACTAAGTTTGTCAATAAATTATATACATATATTATGACAGTTATATCGAAGATACATGTAGGTACAAATGAAATGTATATACGACTTCAAACATCTTTTGACCTTTATATGCTACTGAACTGAAGAGGACAAGCAAAACTAAACTTTTAACAAGTTCATATTCGCGGCAGTTATCTCTGACTCGTTTTCCCTTTGACTGTTGAGAGAGATATCTGCAATTTGAATATCTCAGAACGTCTGGACTCTGTTTTCTATGGAGTTGGTGACGTCATTACGTATCAGTATATTATTGGTAGGTCTAGGTAGCTTTGGTTATGTGCAGGATTAAGATTTGAGCTCAAAAGTTAATGGTCTGGAGATGTATTGGAAATTTGATCATCGATGCTGCCATTCCGCACACGCACCTGTGGCTTGGATTAAACTTTAAAGCGGTATTAAGTTTGTAGCGCGTAAATGCTTACACGTATATCTGTACACATACAGACACACACACACACACACACACACACACACATATGTGTATCTCTACATATACATGTAGATATACACATATGCAAATACATTCACATACACATACACATGGACGCAAATAAACACATACATAGAGAGAGAGAGGGGGGGGGGGGGTGCGTGTGCGTGTGCGTGCGCGCGCGGATTCTAATTACTGCTGTGTGGAATTACTGCTGTGCGCATCACTTCCTGTCATTCTACATTCTTAAGAAGGAATTAACGTAAAAGTCCAG